AAGCTCAGTGCTACATGTTAGCATCAATGTCAAATGAGTTATAGAGACAGAACGAACTGTTGAATAATGCTTCTGAAATCCTCCTTCATCTACAAGAGTTGTATGGTGATAGGACGCGGTAAATTAGATATCAGATATCTAAAGAGCTTTTCAGGTGTCGTATGACTCAGGGCTCTTCAGTTCATGATCATGGACTGAAGATGATAGCTCTTGTTGAAAGGCTTTCGTCCCTTGGAGTCATTATGGATAATGAACTCTATGTGGATCTCATGCTGCAATCTCTGCCATCGTCATTTGATAGTTTTGTTGTTAACTTTAACATGCATAATATGGAGACTTCTCTGCCAGAATTAGTGAACATGTTAAAGACGTATGAATCCACAATCAAAAAGGATAAGATGGTGCTTCTTGTTGGATCCACTTCTGGATCAAAGGTTTTAAAGTCTAAGAAAAGAAAGGGGAAGGGAAACGTTCCCAATAAACCCAACAAGAAGGCAAATAACAACAAAGGGAAGAACAAAGAGAAGGTTAATTCTCAGTCTAATCATGAATATTATCATTGTGGTAAAACTGGGCATTGGAAGAGGAACTGCAAGGAGTATCTTGCTAGCCTGAAAAGTTCAGGTATTTATTTTGTTGAAGTTAACTTATCAGTTAACGATTCTTCTTGGGTATTGGATACCGGCTGTGGCTCACATATTTGCAATGATTTGCAGATGATGGCAAGAAGTAACAAGCTAGAAGATGATGAAACAATCCTAAGGATGGGCAATGGAGCAAGAGTTGCTGACAAAGCAATTGGGACTGTTTATCTAGCTTTAAATAATGATGTAAAAATTTGTCTTACAAATTGTTTGTATGTTTCGGATGTTATACGAAACATTATTTCTATTCCAGTAATGGAGAGAGAAGGTTTTAAGTTTGTTATTGAAAATGGAAGATTTTCCATTTTCAAAGATACAACTTTTATATATTCCAGAAATTTGACAAATGGGTTATATACCATTACACCACAAAGTCCCATCCTAACTATTCGACAAAATAAAAGAAAATTAGATAATCATAGTTCATTCACACTTTGGCATGCTCAATTAGGTCATATATCTGAAAAGAGGATTAACAAATTGGGACCAAAACTCGACCTTAGGGGAGAGGAAAGGTTGCCTACTTGTGAGTCATGTGTCTTAAAGGTAAAATGATAAAATCACCATTTGTTGGACAAGTGGAGCGAGCTAAAGGTCTGTTGGATTTGATCCATACAGATGTTTGTGGACCACTAAATGTTAGTGCAAAGGGGAACTACTATTATTTCATAACTTTTACTGATGATTATTCACGGTATGGTTATGTATACCTATTAAGGTACAAATCTGAAGTATTTGAAAAGTTCGAAGAATTCAGAAATGAAGTAGAGAAACAAATTGGTCGTAGTATAAAAGTTCTTCGATCAGATCGAGGAGGTGAATATTTGACCAATGAGTTTCTTGATTATTTAAGAGATAATGGGATTATTTCACAGTGGACACCTCCTGGAACTCCACAACTCAATGGGGTTTCAGAAAGGAGGAATCGAACATTGTTGGACATGGTTCGATCAATGATGAGTTCCACTAGTTTACCTCTTTCATTTTGGGGCTATGTCTTAGAGACAACAGCACATATTTTGAATAGAGTGCCAAGTAAAGCTGTACCCAGCACACCTTATGAGATATGGTGTGGCAAAACAC